GACTCGGGGCCTGAGACTGCATTTTGTTCCTTCTCTTTGTCATTTTGTATACCACTGTCTTCTGACCTTTAGTGTAGAGCTTAGATAGAGTTATTACCTTAGCACCAGGTCCGGATCTACGAAGTTCAGATTCCTCCAGGTGGGTGTTGTTTGGATCTGGCTGTGTGCTCCTCTTCTTTCTGCTGCAGGCGTTAGAGTTGAACCCTTTGTGTCTCTCTGGCAAGATGTTCTGCTCCTGAATCAGCTGGGTTGGTCTTGCCTCTAGCCTCTTTGCAGGGTGTTCTGCTGAAGGGTTCCGTGCTGGGCCTGCACTCTGGGTCTGTTCAGGATCCCATGGCCTCGGTTGTCTCACTCATTCCCTGGGCCTGTGCTCTGAGTCTATCCAGGATCCCACGGCCCTCGGTCGTCTCACTCACTCGCCAGGCCTGTGCTCTGGGTCTATTCAGGATCCAGGGCACATTTTTTTGCAACAAGAATTTCTATGTCTGGGTGGCTTAGATTCTGTCGGAAATGTACATGTATGTGTGTGTGTGCGCGCGCATGTGCGCACACACACAAGTGTGCATGTGTGCTTGGGTGTGAGGCCTGCACTCAGCTCCGGGCAGCATCTGGAAGCCTGGCCCCGCAGTGCTGTCTTAGGAGAAGGGAGACAGCTTGGGCCAAAGCAGTGCCCTGTCTGTCCCCAGCCCCACCAGCCAGTGGCACTGGGAGGGGGCATTGTCTACACTGTTAATTAGCTTGGAGCACCAGGGCCTTTTGACCAGTGCGCCTCCCCTCCAGCTCCCACCAAGCTCCCCAGAGCTTCTTGTTTCCCCAGGAGCCTACTCCTTCCTGAACCCCGAGTCTCCTTCCTCCCTTGGGGACCGAACATCAGTTGTGAGGGTGGCCGGACCCCAGGCTTGGGGCAGGCAGCTCATGGCATTGGGGGGAGGGGAAATGGTGTCACATAGCAGCCATCTGGTGTGACCCAGATGACACAGTGGAATCTGGTGTTAGGACCTGTGATGGAGAGGAGCAGTGGCACGTGTGGCCTGTTGTTGTCGGGTGCCCCGTCCCCAGGAAGGCAGACGGCCGTAGGACACCACTCCTGGCCACCGTGTGCTCAGGGTCACCCGCCCACATGAGACAGTGGCTGTGACCCCTGGGGCCTGCACCGTTCTTTAGGCCTTCCGCCCCCACTGCACACAGAAGTGTGCTTCTTCCTGGTGTCTCTGGGACCCAACCTGGCTGACTCTGTGCCCAGGAAGCAAGCGCCAGGCCTCTCACTAGCATGGAACTCCTCTAGCAAAGGTCCCCGAGGGCACAGGGAGCGACACGGGCCTGCTCTCCCGGGAGGGCTGCTCAGGGTGCGGGTGCTGTGGCCCCCATGGTCCAGAAGGCGCACAGGACAGCACGGGGCCAGTTGCCAGGAGGGAGCGGCAGAGGCAGTGATGGGTGAGTCACCAGCATCACCTTCCTTTTCTTCTGGTGCCTCCGTCAGTGAGCAGGTGTCCTGGGTCCTGAGACAAGCAGGCAAGGGCAGGGGTTGGTGGCACCCTCGTGATCCAAGGAATCGTATCTAAGCATCTGCTCGTGTGCTGGGTTCAGCCCAGGGCTGGGGACACACAGGTGGCCAAGCACAGCCCTGCTCTCTGGAGCCGAGGTGCCAGTGGGCCAGGCACAGGACACAGACAGACACACACACACAGACACGCGCGCGCGCACACACACACACACACACACACACTCATTCATATTTTCAATGTAATTCCTGTTTAATTTCAATTGTGGAGACAGGCCTGACACCAGGAAGATTAGGCTGCTGTGCTGATGAGTCTGGAAACTCAGGGAAGAGCAGAACCTCAGGGCAGGGGTGGTGCTCTGTCAGGCCAAGGTCTGAGCCCTACACCTTCCCGGGATCCTGAGAGTTTTCTTCTGGCCAGGGAGGACCTACCAGGCTCTGGCCCTGCACCTGGCTGATGCCGCCCTGACCCCAGACACTCACCCATGACGAGAGTGGAAGTAGGAGCTCTGTGAGGCCCAAAGCCGAGCCCCTCTGAGGGCTGCACAGCCTGGCAGCGAGGATGGGGCAGGATGGCTGCACAGCCCTGCCAGCCCCAGACAGCCAGGGAGCCCAGAGGTCAGAGGGGTCCCCGTATCAGCACCACTGAGATTCGGCAGGGGGCCTCGCTCGGGAGCACTGGGCCCAGCTGCGGTGTCCACCTTACGCAGCTCACCGCACCAGGCACCTGAGGGGCAGAGAGGCGCGTCGGCTGCAGCCATGTGGCATCGCCTGGCAGCAGTTCACTGCAGGCACAGGGCCCACAGACACAGGTTGCAGCAGGCGAGGCTGGGCGGTGTGCCCCCAAGTCCCTTTAGCATGCATCGCCAGGAAGAGCCAAGTGGGTCATCCTGGGCTCCAGGCAGACCCGGGAGACTTGGGCTGCGGCTGTGCACCCTCGCCCTGCACCCCAGCCTGCTCCTCCCTGAGTGAGCGCCGCAGCCCACTCTCTGCTAGCACCCTTAGCAGTGCTTCCTCGGCCCCTGCACAGGGCCAGCCCAGAGGAGGCACCGGCAGGTGCTCATCAGATGCACGTTGCTGTGAGGGCACCCCAGAGCTGAATTACGCCCCCATCAAAGCATCCAGGAACTCCTCCTCCTGTTGTTCACCTCCCTGGCCCGGAGCTTCTGGAGGGCAGGGCTGTGTCTGGGTTGTCTGCATTCCCAGTGCTCAAGATGGGCTGGTGTGCCAGAAAGGAGAGGGGATGAGGAGCGAAGGGCTGTGTGGCGCGCACAGCGCAGATCCAGGAGGAAGGTGTGGGCAGAAGGCTGCACAATGAATGGCTGCTTTGGTGGGTGAGGGAGGGATTGGCGTTGACAGAGAGAAGGCTGAATGGATGGGTGATTGGGAGAGTGGATGGCTGAGCTGGTGATAGCAAGAGAAGAAGGCCAAAGGATAGGTGGGTAGGTGGAAGGATGGATGAGTGGGTGGGTGTGGGAATAGGTGGAGAGGGAGTTAGAAGGGCAGGTGAGTAAGTAGACGGAAGTGAGCAAGTATTTAAATGGCTGCAATTCTAGAAGCCCATCATGGATGACTCACAAGATGCAGTGTGGGAGAGTGAGGTCCAGCCTGCTCTGTGTCCAGGGAGGAAATACGAACCCTTAACAGAGATTCCCCAGGGACACAGGGAGCGGGGTGCCCATGGTGGGTGGATCCCTGGCTCAGAGCCGCCTGTGCGACCCAGCGCCATACCATCTCTGGTTGTCCTGAACTGATCTAGCTTTTCCTGGTGCTGCGGACCAGCATGCTGCCCTCTAGCCTCAGCAACGGCCTCCTCTCTGCTCCCATTTTCTTCCGAGCTGTCGGTTGTCCCTCACACTGGTTCTCTCGTGTGACCTCACCACCTGGAAGTATTGCTTACTCACTGCACAGATCAGGAAACTGAGGCTCAGAGCTGCTGAGGAAGCAAGCTGACAACAGCAAAGCACTAGCATCCGCGCTCTCCCGCCCAAGCGCCTCGTTCCCAAGAGAGCCCGTGGCGCGCTTTGTGGGCTGCTGCACTCGGCTCTGAGGTGCCCTGGCTCGGCTGGCTGCACAGCAGGGTGTTTGCTGAGGGAAGTGGCTGGGACTGAGGGGCGCTGCCTCCCAGCCAGCTAGGAGCCACTTGGAGCCTGCGGTAGCTCTGTAGCTGGCCGTGTGGCCACCCCATTGTCCACGGCTGTGGGGAGGTCGTGTCTCAGGCTGGGGTTTCACATCCAGAGAGCTCTTTCCCTGCTTTGCAGCTTGCATATCACTACAAGGGTGGCTGCCCGCCTCCAGGGCCCCTGGCCTGGCAGGAGTTTGGCTGGATTACTGGTGCCAGCAGGCTTGGTCCCAGGGGCTTCGCCTGCACGGGTGGTGCACCCAGCCCTCCAAGCCCCCACTGGCCTGCTGTGCCGGGATGTGCTGTGCAGCCACTGCCAGGAACCAGAGCTGCTGTGTGGACACACTGGAGGCCAATGCTGCCCCGCGACAGCCATTGTCCAGGTGACAGGAGCGCCCGCACTGCTGGGCATGCGTTGGCCTCCCCACCGTGGCCTTCCTCACCATCCATTTGCCTCTGGGAGTAGAAGTGGGATGTTTTATTTTCCCCTTGAAAATCACTGTGGTTTCCTGGAGAGCCGTCAGGCAGGGAGCCGTAGAGCAGGGAAGTGTCTGTGTATCCCGAATGGAAGTTCTCAGTCTCCGATTTTGGCCTTATCTTGTCAAGGTCCTGTAGTCCAATCCCCAGTGTCCAAGCTCTCTGGCCTGGTGTCAGTCTTGTCCTTGGTGGTGCAGGAGACAGGGCGCTCCAAAAGACTGGCAGGGTCCAGCCCACCCCTGGCTGCAGGTAAGAAGCCCACCCCGGCAGGCATGTCCCCCCAGAGCGTGGTCTGCTCTGCAGGTTGCGGGGAGAGACTGGCTCTGTTCAGTTGGGCCGCGCTTGGGGCTGGCACTTTGGTGCAGGGTGTGCACGCTGCAGACGGGTGCCTGGACCTCAGCATGCTGTGTGGGGCTCATCTGGAATTCAGGGTGAACAGCCCCCGGTGCTGCATGTGGTGTTCTTGGGGCATGCGCTGCGTGCCGTGAATGCTTACTTATATACATTGTCGAGTTCCTTTCCTGTTGTATTTTCATTTCTTTGTTGCATGGATTTTGCCAGGGGCATAGGTCGCACTGTGTTCTGTTTTGTGGGCAGCAAGGTGGGAGAGACAGGAAGGACTGCCAGAGTTCTCATCAGCCTCTGTCCCCCCAGTCTGCCACCTGAGCAACGCACGTCCCTAAGACTTGGTCCCCAACCTGTGACACCATGCAAAGCCCTTGCCCACAGGCGCAGGTGCAGAGCCGGGATGTACAGAGTGCCTGGCTTGTGTCTGGCACGAGGACCTCTGAGGCTGGGCCTGTCCCTTCTGTGCTCCCCCTGCAGCAGGGGCCGCACGCACTTGGCCCGTGCAGGCATCCATCGTACACCAGGCGGCCGCCTCTGGGGATGATGCGATTGTCCACATTCTCAGGGTGTGGTAGACCGAGAGAGACACAGCTGGTCCCCTGCTGCCCTGCCCTGGGTGTGCGGCCTCCGGCTCGGCGTCCGCCCCAGAGCCTGCCCCGGCTTGCTGGGGCCCTTAAAGGCCTTCACACCTTTGACCTTTCCACGCTACATTTTCCATTTTTGACCACAGTGGTGGTGGGGAACCCAGAATTTGTGGTGCGCTGCTTCTACAGATTAATTTTTCTCTTCCAGCCACGAGGCGATTGGACGGGGAGGATGGGAGCTTTGACCAGGACAGCAGGAAGGTAATTGGGGGAGCAAGTCTCACCCCAGGAGCCCCGTGGCTCTGTGCAGCCTTCCCCACTGGCCCCAGGCTCCTCTGCCACCTGTGCTCCTTGGACTCCTGGGGGCCACCAGTGGGGGCGCATCCACTGCCTCCTTCCTACGGCCAGGCCGAGGCCTCTGCCCACGTCCTGGCTGAGCCAACGTGCATTCCCGGGGCGCTGGGGATGATGGCCCTAAAACAGGCTTTTTTTCCACCAAGCTGCACGGAGCTTGTGGGCACGGCTCTTACCAGAGGGTGTTGGGTGTGAACAGCGGGCGTGGCCCCGCCCCAATGGTGCCACTTGGGCCCGGCCCTCCCCAAGCCTCCATTTTCTTATCTGTAAAATGAAGCAGCAGCGTCTGCAGCCTTTACCCCGAATGCTCCCTTTCCTCTCGTCCCCTGTGTGGTGAGACTTTATTAAAAGCTGGGCCTTGCTCGTGCAGTTTCCTCACAGCAGGGCTGCTTGCAGGTTGACGGAGGCTGCTAGATGGCTCTGGAGACCCGCTTTCACCACTGCCAAGCTCACACGAGCTTTTCTCCTCTGCAGAAGACCAGCTGGCTGCTGCTCAAGGGAGACGCTGACGTGAGGACGAACTCGCCGGACCTGGACAGCCAGTCTCTGTTGCACAGTAGCGCGCCAGAGCGAGAGCCACTCCTGAGAGGGCCCGGAGACAGCTTCTACTCCCGTGAGTGGCTCTTCTGAGCCTGAGCCGCTCCACGCTGGAAGCTTCCGGCCTCTGGGCCGGCGCTGCATGGCCCCCTGCACCTCGCCCCAGCTGCTTAAGACACACGACAGGGTGGCCGAGACATGAGAGCGAGGGCCTTGGCCCCACCATGCCCCACCCTGGCATGAACAGCCGGCATGCCCAGGTCTGCTGGTGACCCCAGCGCTGGCAGCAGGGCCCTGAGTCTCACTAGGAGAGAGCGGACGGGGCGTGGTCCAGGGTGAGTCCAGAGCTGGCCACAGGGTGCTGGGGGAGGCGCTGAGAGGCCCGGGTGACACGGCCACCACTGCCCACTTCCAGGGTGTCGTGAAGACTGAGCCAGGAGGGATTGTGGGTGCAGAGGACACGCTGTCATGCTCAGCACTCCAAATCCTAGACAGAGCCAACAGCGAGTGCGGTCCAACTCCTGGGGGACCTCTCGGGAGCACCTCTGGGTCCCAGCTGGCTGGGGTCTTCTGTGGCCTAGGCAGTGATGGAGGGTGGAAGCAGAGGCATAGTGGGAGACAGAGGAGACAGCTCCCGACCCCTGTGTGACAGGCTGCTTCCTGGGTATCTTAGTTACTTTTTTCTCTTGTTGCTGGGGCCAAACACCTGACACCCAGAATTAAGGAAGGAAAGGTTTACTGAGCTCGCAGTTAGTGGAGGCTTCAGTTCTTGGTGGCAGAAGCCAGCGAAGCGTAAAGGGAGGGGCAGCTAGCGAGCCTCTCCCCCTCGCCATCCTGTACTCAGGCCGTCCGCCCCAGGGCGAGTACAGCGCTCACACCCACGATCCCAGCCTTGGATCATGAGTTAATCACCAACTCTAGAAGCACCCCATGATTGTGTGAGGCTTTGGGGGAACAATTAGACACAATCTGTGACACTGGGTCTTCAGGAGACTTGGCGAGGACACGGTGGCGCCCAGCCTGGCAGGTAGCAGGTGCTCAGGAAAGGCCACCATCTGTCGCCATCTTCATCCTCATCCTCATCCTCATGCCGTGATTCTGAGCAGTACCGTGTTGCCACTGGAAGCCGAAAGCGGCCCGTGGGAGAGGGGCGTGTGGAGGCACAGACACCGGGAATCGAGGCTCTTGCAGTATATGGCTGTGAACTAGGACAAGCGCGCCCTCCTGCGTGGACCTGTCTGAGCGGGTGTCCTCCTGCCTCTGCCCTCAGGGTCTCAGAGCCAATGCCAAAGGCACCGACATTGTCCCCTGGGGAGGGTGGGCTCCCCAAGGCTCCTGAGCCTCCTGGGGGCAGCTGCAACCTGTCCTGCAGCCCTCCCCCCGCCTGGGACCCCTGCGCAGGTGCCAGGTCCCACTTGGCGCACAAGACCCTGCATGTGGAGCAGCCTAGCCCCATGTGTCCCAAGCTCTAGGATTGAGCGGGCGTGTGGGCACCTGAAGATGCTGCTCTCCGGCTCCCAGTCCTGCCCCTGGGGAAGGGCAGGCCTCTGCCAGCTTGGTTCTCCCGTGCCCATGACTGCTATCCCTAGCAATTCCCGCTGGACTCTGCGGCCCAGGACTGAGGGCACCCCAGGGAGACACCGGCTGGAGACAGCTGCCACTGTCAAGCTGTGTGACCCATGCATGTGGCCCTCGCCGCCACCCCGCTTCCTCGTCTGCAGATACCAGGGCGTGCGTGCCCGTGGCCATCCCAGAGCCTGCGCTGGCAGGCGGAGGCCCCCGAAGGCCAGGCCGGCCGGTCGCGCAGCTGCAGCACCGCTTCTGCTGTGTCCTCATCGCAAGCCGCGCCCCTCCCACCACCTGCAGGCACCCAGCTGCCCACAGACCTCCTGCATGGCACACACGTGTGGGCGCGTCCTTGCGGCTGCCACGCTTGCCATGACCATGACTGTGGCTGCGTCCTGCTTCGTGTCCTAGGGCTGCCCTGAGGCCGGTCTTGCGCACAGCAGGCCTCTGTGTCCTGCTGTGCTTGTGTCTGTCCCGACGATGTGGCCTTGTGCCCCGTGTGCCGCGGGCCTCGCTGTCGGTCCCACCAGCGTGCGGGCTCCGTGCTGTTTTCCAGGGCTCTTTCCAGCCTCCCCCGTGGCCCCGCTGTGGGTCCCTGGCTCCAGACCCACTGCACCCTCCTGTGACTCTGACTATGGGAGCGCTGACACGTAGTCAGCCGTGCCAGGCCGCCCTGGGCCGCCCCTGTAGAGACCCAGGGAAGGTAGGACCGTGCCGCTACGCGGTGGGTGCTCAGTAAATGTTGGTTGGATTGAGATGCGTTAAATTCAGCGGGTATTTATCGAGCACCCACTCTGCGCCGGTCGCCAAGTGGGGGCCGAGGGGGGCGTAGAGATGCAAGAGCAGCCTGCCGCTGCAGGCACGTGCGGGGAGCTAGAGCGGCATCAGGAGAAGCAGCCACGTGCAGGCCCGCTGCCTGGGCGCCTGGTGGCTCACGGGCCCAGCCACAGCTGCGTCCCACCGCGACTCATCCTCTCTGCTGCCGGGGTGGAGCTCAGCCTGCACCCCCATCCACCCCTCCAGGCTGCTGAGCACCTACTGTGTGCTGGGTGTGGCTCTGGGTAGCGCAGAGATAGCAGCGAATAACGACCCCGTGCAGCCCCGTCCCCAAGGGCTGTGGCTGTTGGCTTAGATGAAGAAACACACGCTCCACGCTTCAACGCAGGCGGCTTCCTTTTCCCGCTGTACGTCTAGGGCTGGGCCCTGTGCAGCACGCTGACTTAGGCACGCGTCCCGCTGCGATCCGCTTGCTTGGGTTACGAAGAAGGCCCTGTAGGAGGAGGCTCCATGCCCCGGAAGAGCGCAGGGCAGCCCGCACCCCAGCTGGCCTGGGCCCTGGAGACTGCTGGCCGCTGCTCTTTCTGGTCGTGCTGTCTCTCGCCCAGGCACGTGCACTGTAGTCAGAGAAGCGCTGGCCGGCCGGGGACCCTGCCCAGGGGACTTAGAGGCCCCTACAAGAGTGCTGACACTTACAAAGTGAATAAGGCCCCTCCTCGGCCCAGCGTCTGGGGGCGGAGCTTGGAGCAGGTGGATCAGCATCAGCGGTGGCCCTGGGAGGCCCCAGCCTGCCTGAGCCTTGGCGTTCTGTGTCCCCTCCACTGCAGGCCCCTGTCAAGTCCTGTGCTTGTCTTTTCTGGTTACTGTCCCCATGGGCCTCCTGAGGGGAGGGAGATGGGGACACAGGGCCCAGTGCTGCTGCGGGGGCCGCAAGAGAAGGGCCACAAGCTGTGAAGTCCTCACAGTTCCTAGTGCTAGGCTCTGGCTGGCTGGGGAGCATCAGGCAGGGTCAGCAGTCCGGCCCAAGGGCGTCAGCAGGGACCCCAAGGGGTGGAGTCGCAGCCTCAGGTCAGAGTGGCACCGCTTCTCCATCTTAGAGCAGGCAAAATGGGGCCGAGGGGAGGAAGGCACGTCTTTTTTTTGCTTAATCTATTTATTTATTTATTTATTTGCTACCAGGTCTCGCTACACAGCTTGGGCTCGTAGTGGTCCCTCTGTTTCAGCCTCCCTGGTGCTGGGATTACAGGTGTCCCCAGGAGGGCATGACACGTGGCACCGGGGATCAGGGAGCCCTGGTCGTTGCCCTGACTGCTGAGCTAGCTCCCCAGCCCCTCCCAGTGCATCTTTTGCAAGCATATCCTTCTGAGCAGAGGCCAAGACAGGCCTAATTCCCACAGGTGCACGGCGCAGGAGCCAGGTAGCCAGTACAGGAGCACAGACAGCGTCGTGAACATCACTGACCACTGCGCCAGGGCCGGGCACGAAGTAGACAATGTGCTCTGGCACCTGGGAGCTCCAGGGCAGGAGATGAAGTGGGCAGACCCAGGGCAGAGCTGGAGGGAGGACAGGGACAGGGAGGACAGAGGCGGGGACAGCACCCCTGCTGGGGAGAGGGCGGAGGCATGGCTGGCGGGGAGGACCCCCATTGGCCTGCTGACCCAGTCCCTGAGGAGGAGTGGTCCAGAAGGCTCTGGTCAGGCCTCGCAGGCTTGTATAGGATGGGGTGGGTAATAAGAAACCAGGAGGCAGCACAGGATGGCCACTGGGGACAGAGACCATGGGGACAGCCAAGGGAGAGCAGGCGCGAGTTGGAGCTGGCAGGGACTGGTCAGGGACGTCTCACATGGTGCAGGAAGCAGATGGCCCTTTGTGAGGGTGGGAGCCTGTAGAGGGACCCTGGCTGGGCATTCCAGCCAGAATGGTCTCACGAGCCCTTGTGCAGTGGTGCGGGGGTGGGAGGACAGGCAGTTCTCGCTTGTTGGCTTGGGGACTCAGAGCTGTCAGGAGGCGTGGGCACCACTCAGAACAGAGGACCGAGGTGTCCAGCCCTCACCACTGGCACCGAAATGCCAGCACCCTGACTGTGGTCCCCGGGTGTCACCCACCACATCCTCAGTGCAAGCCCTGTGGGTGGAGCTGGAGCCACTTGGGCCGAACAGCAATGACTGTCACCCCACTCCCAGCTGCCTGTGTCAACCCTTCCTTGTGGGCCAATGTTAGTGGCTGGGGTGGTGCCCACAACCCAACCTTTGCTGTAGGCAGAGAGGAAGGATGCCAGGAATGGAGGTAGGAAGTGGGGCTGAGGATTCCAGAATGGGGGCCCCAGCCACACCCTGAGCTGAGCAAGGCAAGGAGGAGAGACTGTGGGAGGCTTCCTGGCATCAGCAACAATGGGAGGTTCCATGGGGTGCAAATGGGCCGGGAAGGCTAGCCTGGCCTTTCTGGAAAGACCAGTGTTCACCTGGGAGGCCAGGCGCCCCCTGCCCTACTTAGGCCAGAGTCTCCAAGGACAGTGGGAGCTGCAGGGGTTGGGGGGGGCCTGGCCCAGGGGGCCCATGTGGCCTTGAGGAGCAGCGGTGTCCTTCACCCTTTAGACCTCCTCATGCCTCTGTGCCCAGCAGACTCGCCCCCAGCCTGGACTGGACAGGGCATGCCTGTAGACACTCGGGACAGGAGCAGTGTGTGTCTGCTTGAGTGTCACCGTGAGGCTTACCCCAGCCCCCAGGCTCCTGT